TGATGATGATATATGAATGGATGACCACGGAATTTCACCTAGAATCTGAAGTGCTCTCCTGTTTCTCAACGGGTATCGTCTATGCTGGATTTGATGTTCTCTGTCTTGATTATCCTCATCCGTATCAGGGCTATAGTCATCGCTATCGTCACTATCACTACTTTGGCTGTCTTTTAAATCACTTTCATAAGAGTTATCTATTGAATGCTTTTTAACAAATGTTTTTCCATATAATGTGATATCTCGAGATTCACCATCATCTACTGAACTTCCTTTAACTGGTGGCAAACGATCACGGTGGCCTATTTTATTTTCCTTTGTTTGGCCATTCATGATTTCAAAGTTAACTCCATTCGGCAATTTCTTGATGACTGCCCCAGGCCTCGACGACGAGGTGCGCGTTTTCTAATCTCGCCAGTCTTATGATGTTTTACTTTTAACCACACTTTTTCACTCAATTAGTAATTGATAAAATGGATTGTTTGGCTGTACTGAGCTTGCATTATTGCTTTGCTTAACTGTAAGTGCATGATAGCCGAATTATAATCATCTTAAAGGCAAAATTACGACCTTCAGCGTATTCTTCAGCAGTGTTTATATCCTTGGGGCAATCCAGAGGATCGTGGTCGAATAATACATCGATTGGTAGACGGAGGTCTCTTTCGAAAACAACTTTAAACGGGGTACATTTGGTGGCTTTACTTTCACTTGTGTTCAGTGCAAATACCAACTCTAGTAGCAACGAGGCCCATTTCGATTGATTTAGTTTTCTTTGTAACAATACTGTTCGTAGCATATCTTTAACATTGCAAATATTGCACTCGGCAAACCCGTTGTCTTGAGAATGGTAAGCTTAAGATCGCCGCTTTTCGATACCCAGGGTATTACAGATTTGTTGGACAGTATTTCCATCAACATTTGATCTTTGACCTCTAAGAAGAAAATGTGGAGTGCCATGGATATATATCCAGCGGGTCATCAAAGCATTTACGATTGTGGCTGTGGTTTGGTCTTTCATTAGTACTGCTTCAATGTATTTGGAAAATAGATAACCAATAATCACGAAGGACTCGTATCCTTTGTTGGTCTTTGGCCTACAGGAGACGTCAATGGCAATGAACTACATCGGAGCATCTGGAATCAACATGGGAAGTAAAGGTGCCTTCGGCGGAGACGTGTCGCATTTTGTTTGTTGGCAGTGAATGAAATTAGAGAAGAGATGTTTGGCGTGTCCATATATGTTTGGTTAAAAGAAACGCTCTTTAAGAAAGGAATATGTTCTGTCTGTCCCAAAGTATGCCCTGTTATGAATTTCGGTTTATACTATCTTTCGTAACGATGCTGGGGCAATTGAACGATCAGATTTTGTTAAAATGTCATTCTCAACTCGAAGTTGGTTCTGAACACGTTTAAATCGATCTTCAAAAATTATTTCTCCATCTGCTACAAGTCGTTTTGCATTACTGATCACAGGGTCTGCACTTTGCTCTTGTCTTTATTGGTCCAAAAATGCAATGTTGTCTACAATGGTAGTGTAAACCTTGTTTTCAAATGATGATATTGGTTGATGATACAGTATAATCATACTCTTCCAGTTCTGATATCCACCTCCTAAATTTTCCTTTTGGATCTTTTTGTTCACGCATATGAACAAGTGGATTATTGTTGGTATTCAGGATAAATTTAGTACCCGCTAAAAAGACATGCCAGTGTCTCACAGCTAAAACGAGAGCAAATGCTTCTTTGGTTATTGGTGCCCATTGACGCTGTGAGCCTCCGAAAGCTGTCGAGAAATAGGCAAAGGATGTCAAAAGCAGTCATATCCACGTTGAGATAACACACCACCTGCAGCGTAATCACTAGCATCAACTTCGACTGTAAATGTTTCATTGAGCTTTGGAAATGCTAGAACAAGTTGGGATGTTAATTGATGTTTCAGTTTCTTGAAAACAGATTCGCATTGACTGTTCCAAATGAATTTAATGTTGTCACAGGTGAGTTTGCTAAGGGGTTGTCTGTGTAGTCTGTGTAGTTTTGAATAAAGCCCCGATAGAACCCTGACAATCCTCAAAAACGCTTTAATTCTCTTCTTTACTCCATTGGAGTAAATTCATCAATAGCTTTGCTAAAAAGATGCTGTGGCTGAATACCTCTACACGAGAGCTCGTATCCCAAAAAATCAACTGATTCTGATGCAAATACACATTTTGATCTTCTCAGAGATTTGCAGATCGCAAACGATCAAAGATTGCTGTGAGATCTTCAATATGTTCTTGTGACGTTGAATTAAAAATCACTATATCGTCCATGTATGCATTTGATAAGCCATATGGCATGACGTTGAATTTGTATTTGCAATGGGGCACCAAGAATGCTGTTTCCTCCTTGTCACTGTCTGCAAGAGGGATTGACCAGTACGCCGATGCAGCATCCAGCGTTGTCCAATATTGTGCTCCTGCCATCTTGTCGATTACTGAGGCGAATCCCTCCCCATGCATTCTTTGATTCTCTATCGCAAAATGAGAGTAAAACTCAAGAAAAAGGCTGAATAAACCGTGAGATATCAATTGAGAGTTGCAAACAAAACGAGTACTATCATCCTCCTTTTGACTAAAATCACTAGGGCGTTCCAAAGTGACGAAGAGGGCCGAATAATATCATTGAAAAGCATTTCAGCAACCTGTTTATCGGTGTCCTTTTCCCATTCAACAGAAATCCTGAGGGTTTTGTGACTTACAGGAAGGGCATCATTGGTGACTATTCCATGTTCTAACAGAATCGAAGACATTCTTATATTGCTCAAACAGTCTGGTTACTTACAACTTCTGATCACATGATAGTATTTCACTGATTTTGCTATCCGCAAGAGTTGAATTAAGATTTTCGTCGGTTGCCACACTCCTAAAAATTGGCTGGTTGTCTAAAACCCATCGAGGTTCGCGATGTCAATGTAATGTTCGAAGTAGTAACATTTAGGGCGGTTATTTGAAATACTCCATCGATGTTCGGTATTACACAGGATCTTGTAGCATACAAGCTTGGTATCTTTGGACCAATCTTGGGTTCAAAATCTCCTTGCAACAGAGAATTGTTTTTTGATAATTTAACTAAAACAATTGATTCTCAGCGAGAAGGAATAGTAACACATTCGTTCAACCTCACACTTGCTGTTTTGGACGATAATTCGGACAGTGAGAGGTTTCCTAACTGAATTTTTTTTCCGGCGAAATCAAACCGGACAGAACAGAAAAGGCGCATAAAATCTCTACCAATTACTACATTTGAATAAGTCAATGTGTTTCAAGAACTTGAAAAACATAATTACGCGGCTGGCTACCAGCAAGCTTGAATCAACTTCTTCAAATGCTCTCCTGCTGTTTTGGTTAGGGTCCCCATCTTGAAGAAAGAGCTTTCCTCTTGGATTTGCTGAGACCTAAAACATGCCAGGAAAATGCTCGCTGATTCACAACAGAATTCGCCATTTACAGGTGAAGTGTACCGAATGCAGGCCCACCGAGAGGGGGGGGGCAAGGGGGCAACTGCCCAGGGGCCCAGTGCCAGATAGGGGCCCGTCAATAAGTCTTCAATTTCTTAAAATTGTAATTTTTGAATGAGGGAAGTCATAATAATAAATCAAATAACCGTTAA